AGAATGTTGGTTACCAGAGGCTGGGGCCAGGGTTGGGGATGGGGAGAGGGGAGGTATGGCTCCCAGGGCACAAAGTTTCAGTCAGACAGGAGGAAGAAGCCCTAGTGACCTGCTGCACAGCATGGCCACCTTAGCTAATAATACTAATAATAATGGATATTGCAAAGTTCCTTAAAAAGTAGATTTTAAACATTCTTATCACAAAAAGTGATAAGTGGGTAAGGTGATAGATGTTAATTAGCTTATTTAATCTTTCTACAATGTATACATATATCAAAACATCACATTGTAATCCATAAATATGGGTTGTTATTATTTTTCAATTAAAAATACTAAAAGAAAAGAAAGGAACTGGGAAGGAGAAAGCAGAGAGAATTTTGAGCAGTTGAAACCAGCCAATTTCCCATGGTGACCTAGCAACCAAAGGTGTGCAGGAGTGGCCAAGCTGGGCTGGGTGTCAAGGAAGCCAAAAGGAGCAACATAGGAGCTGGGGAAGACCCCACCACACAGGGCACCCCGAGGTGTCAAGGGGACATGCTTCACCCTTAGGTGAAGGATTAGGGGTTAAGATTTTATTCCAAGCCAGGTGGGATGATAGGGGTGGTGAAGGGATGAAATTGATCTGATGCATGGTTTTAAAGCTTAAACTGGCCTCTACCCCCAAGGACCTCTCCCCTCACCTGCTCACAGCACAGCCCTGTTCAGCTATCTCCTGTTCCTCCTCCACATCCCATCACCACCTCCACCCTTTTGTCACCTCTGGCTGTGTAGCCTTCTCACCTGGGAGCAGGGCCACATGAGGGTGGTAAAAATAACTCCCTGTGACTATGTGTGAAGGGAGAGAGGGGGGAGGGAGGCCAAGCCCAGCATTGGACAAGGGTCCAGAGGGTGAGGGCAGAGAGGCTGGGCTCTCAGAACCTTGCCTCGGGTCACTATTGCTCACTGAGTCACCTCAGCACTCCCAGCACCACAGCAACCCGTGTGCAGAGTAGCTCCACAGGGTAAGGAGCCCAGCTGGGCTGACTACTGGTGACACACCAGATCCCCTCCTAAACCTGCCTTGATCCCCCCCCAAGCCCTGCCCCAGCACTCCAGGCTGGAGCCCCAACTCCTGCTTTTTGACTCCCAGCTTTGTCCTCAGGGCCCCTGGGTACCATCAGCAATGCTTCGTGACCCTGACTGGGAGACCCGGCATGCTGCCCCCAGCCCAAGTCCTTGCAAGTGTCTCTGAGCCCCCACCCCATGCTCAGGCCCCCATGGCGGGTGCAGTGGCTGCGGGCCGGAGGACTGCGCGGGTCAGCATGCAGGAGCATATGGCCATTGATGTGAGCCCAGGCCCCATCCGGCCCATCCACCTCATTTCCGACTACTTCCCCCACTTCTACCCCTTTGCTGAGACCACGTTGTGCACCCGGAACCCATGCATCACAGCCACCACCATGGCCATCCACTCTGCATCCCAGCGGAAGCCTGACCCGGAGCCAGAGGGAGACTCGGATGATAGCAGTGAGTGAAGGCAGGGACAGGGGTCACCCAAGCTCAGCCAAGACAGGACTGGGCAGGGGGCATCCTTGACATCCGACTGTGGAGGGGCAAGGCAGGAGGGGGCAGGTTGAACTGATGCAGGAGGTAACTCTGCCTGCCACCTGCCCTTAGCTGCACTGGGCACCCTGGAGTTCACACTTCTTTTTGATGCGGACAACAGTGCCCTGCACTGTACAGCTCATCGTGCCAAGGTGAGGATGGGGCTGGGGGTCCCTGGGACAAAGGGCTGGGCCACAGGCCATCATCCTGCATCCACTGTCTGTCTCCAGGGCCTCAAGGCACCAGCCTCAGGCTCTGTGGACACCTATGTCAAAGCCAACTTACTGCCAGGAGCCAGCAAGGTGAGGGCAAGCCCCAGGCCCCGGTTGCTGCCCGTTAGCTGCACGCCCAGCCTGGCGCACCCTCCTGGCCCTGCTTGTCTCCTCCCCCAAGACCTGGTTCCCAGTTGCTGGGATATGCAAATGGAGGCTCTATCAGGGAGGCAGGGCAGGGGGAGCAGGGTGGGCACCTGAGCCCTAAGAGCCTCTGACACACCTGCCTGGCCCCCAGGCCAGCCAGCTTCGGACCCGTACCATTCGGGGAACGAGGGGACCTGTCTGGGAGGAGACACTCACCTATCATGGCTTCACCCTCCAGGATGCTGTACGCAAGACCCTGCGGTGAGGCTTGGGCCTGGCCAACGGGGTGGGGCAGGGGCATGGGGCTTACTTGGTCAGGTCTGACCTGGGCAGCCACCAGGCTGTGTGTGTGTGAGGACCCACGGCTTCGGCGACGGCGGGCACCTCCCCTAGGGGAGCTGCGTGTGCCCCTGAGGAAACTGGTGCCCAACAGAGCGAGGAGCTTCGACATCTGTCTGGAGAAGAGGAGGCTGGTAAGTGGGTGTTCAGAGGCCAGGAACACTGAGATTGGGGGGGGGGGAGGGGCTGAAGAGCAGAGGGGCAGGGAGGGAGCTGGGCAGTGTCCAGCCAAGATGACTGGGCCCTTTGCTCCTTCAGACCAAGAGGCCCAAGAGCCTGGACACAGCCCGTGGCATGTCCCTGTATGAAGAGGTGGGTAGGACAGCTGGGCTGAGTAGGGACAGGGGGCAGTTCTGCGACAGCTCAGGCTGAAGTGAACCAGGCTGGTCCATAGGTGTCTGAGCAGGGTCTAGGCCCAGGCAGGCTTAGAAGAACTGAGGCCATTTCCCTCACAGGCTCAGGGAACAGCCTGGGCCCCAGAGACTGGGCACAGTGAAGGTGACTCCCTTGCTGAGACCTGAGCAACCTTGAGGCAGAGGCTGAAAATGATAGTGTTTGTCCAGGGTGCCCGGTGGGAAGTCTGGGCAAGGTCCAAGAACAGATTGGGCTCCGTGGCTGAGATGTGCCCCAGGGTCAGTGTGGGTGCCACCACTGGAGACCAAAGACCTCGCCAGACTCCTGTGGCCCAGTGGGAAAGGGGAACCCTCCAAGGGGCTAAGGGCAATGCTGTCCCCAACCTCCTCTCTGAACAAAAGGCCAGGTGCCCTGTCCCCTAGTGGAGCTACAAGTTGCTGCAGCTGCCCATCAGCTAAACTCAGACAGGTGAGTCCCCAGAGGTGGCACAGGCAGGCCACTTTGCCCAGGGGACACCCCTGAGCACCCTGCAACACCCACCTCCTGTTCCAGCCCCCCATACAACAGTGCCACAGCATGTGGGAGGTGCTCACACTTCTGTCAACTGGCTGTGAGTATGGTGCACAGGCTCTGCAAACTGAATTAGACTCCAAGGGTAGGAAGAAGCACGTTCTTCCCAGGCAGCACCCTCCCTGAGTCCATTTAGGAACACCCCAGGCCCAGAGTGTGGCAAAAGCCATTATCTTTGGGTGGAGATGAGCCTCTCAGAGCTGCTTCTGTGCTGTGAGGCTTGCTCTGCGGGGGTGGGGGGGTGGGTGGGTGGTTATAGGCATTTGATGGTAGGCCACAACGAAGCTCCTGGTAGGTCAGAACCATCAGCTCCCTTCCCCATTGTGCAAAGACATGCTGAACTGACCAATCTCGTGGCCTGAGCAAGCCCCTCCCCTTTTCAGGTCCCAGAAGGTATAGCTGGCTCTTAAGGGAAGGTCCTTCCAGGGTGCCAGGCAAGGGCTTTATTGGGAAATTAAATTATTGGCCACTAGTTTCTTTGCAGCCAACTTGGGCTTTGCCATTTGTTGCCCAGACACTGGTGCAGGTGGCTTTGGACTGGGTGGGGGCTGACTGCAGCATATACTTGCAGGAGGTGGAGACAGAGGTGGCTGGGGAGGAGCGCGGGCGCATCCTGCTGTCGCTGTGCTACAGCTCACGGCAGGGTGGCCTGCTGGTGGGTGTACTGCGCTGTGCTCACCTGGCCCCCATGGATGCCAATGGCTACTCTGACCCCTTTGTCCGCCTGTGAGTGTGAACAGGGGTGGGCAGGTGGACAGTAAGGCCAGGGAGGCAGTCCCTTACCTCTCCAGGGCCACATCTAATGTGCCCATCCTTCCCAGTTTCCTGCATCCAAATGAGGGAAAGAAATCTAAATATAAGACCAGTGTTCGGAAGAAGACCCTGAACCCCGAGTTCAATGAGGTGAGCCAGGTGGGGTAAGTCCCAGCCAACTCTGGGCTTGACAAGCCTCCCCCTGCCTGAGCCTGTTTCCTGAGCTGTGGGGGACCCCAGGCCTCCTTCTTTCTGCCTCTCTGCTCCTCTCCCTGCAGGAATTCTTCTATGCTGGCCCTCGGGAGGAGCTGGCCCAGAAGACACTTCTGGTATCTGTGTGGGACTATGACCTGGGCACGGCCAATGACTTCATCGGTGAGTAGAACACAGGGAGCTAGGGTGGGAGCCCAAGGACTCCCAGTGGCTCCTGACCCATCTCCCATGGCAGGCGGGGTGCAGCTGAGCAGCTGTGCTAGTGGGGAGCGCCTGCGGCACTGGCGTGAGTGCCTGGGGCACAGCAACTGCCGGCTGGAGATGTGGCACCAGCTGGACAGCACACCCCTCCAGCTCAGTGACTAGCCCACTGGGCCCCGCTTGCAACTCCTCCCCACAGCTGCCCACAATGTTCCCATGGAACTGGTAGAGCCCAGGGGCTTCCTCACCACCCACTGTGCCCAGCCCCCCGGTCAAATGGGTGTTTCCAGTCTCTCCTCTTTCACGTTCACCCCACCCCAAATCACAAAGCTTAAATAAACAAGTCCTTGAAGCCACGCAATAGCGTATCTCTTCTTTGGCTTTGGGCCCCATTCTCCATCTCCCACCCACTGTGGGGCCTGTGCTGTACTAGGCCTCAGGCCTTAGTGGTGACCAGGCTCAGCCCTCCCAGTCCCCCACCCCACTCTGTCTCCTGCACTCAAGGACTACTGCTCAGGACAGTCTAGGACTGATTCACTGACTCCCAAAAGGTCAAGGTGGAGACCTCCAAAAGGCATGGCCACGTCTGAGAACAGGCTTCATAAGTAGTGGGCCAAAGGAAGCAGGGTAAAGAGCAAAGTCACAGAGAAGCTGCAATGGGAGTGTGGGCAGCACTTGCTTTACTGTCCAGTACTCTAGACAGATGGACACAAGGCATCAGGCCAGAGTGGTGGGCTTAGGAGGCGGCTTGCCGGGCCTGGTGCTGCTGGGCAAACCGCTGCATCCGCTCCTCGAGCTCCGGCCGGAAGTGGCGGATCAGACCCTGAGTGGGGGAAGCAAGAGACTGTGTAAGGCAGAGTCCAAAATCCCCCAACCCTCAGGGCTCTCAGCACCCTCTACATTAGTGCCACATGGCTGGGCAGTGAGTACCTGCACGGGCCAGGCAGCCCCGTCGCCCAGAGCACAAATAGTGTGGCCCTCTATCTGCTTGCTGATCTCCCACAGGGAGTCAATCTCAGCTGGCCGGGCATCCCCCTTCACGAAGCGGGCCATCACCTTGTTCATCCAATCCACACCTGCAGCCACAGCCACAAGAGAGGGCCTGAGCATTTCCCCAGGGGCCTGTAGGACAACACTTGGGTGCCGGCTGCATGGAAGGGTAGGGGTTAAGTGAAGCCATAGCAAATGCTCACCCTCGCGGCATGGGGTGCACTGGCCACAGCTCTCATGCTTGTAGAACTCAATGAGGCGGGCGATGGCTTTCACAATGTCTGTCTGGGTGATAAGAGGCAGTGAACGGGTGCTCAAGGCCAGACAAAAGCCTGGGCCTTAGCCCCCAGAAGCACCCACTCCCACAGTCCCAGTGGATCCTCCCAGGCCATCCAGCATTCTGGCCTCCTTTAGCCCTGGGTATCCTGCGCTGCCCAGGCTCCAGGCACCTTCTCCCCCACAGCAGCCTTGCTCCCTCCTTTCCCACTTCACTTGGATCTTAGGCTGCAGGAATGGGACCAAAGAGTTGGCAAGAGGGTTTAGAGAAGGGCCCTGGGAGCCTCAGTACCCAAGCTGGAAGAAGGCAGAGACCAGGTGGGGCATGTGGGCCAGTCCTTACTGAACGATCCATGACGATCACTGCGGCTGTGCCCAGGCCCGTCTGTGCCTGCACCAGTGCATCAAAGTCCATCAGTACTGTCTCACACACGGACTTGGGAATCAGTGGGGTAGATGAGCCACCAGGGATCACAGCAAGGAGGTTGTCCCAGCCACCTGTGACACCCCCTGGGGCCCCCAAGTCAGTCCCCAAAAGGATAGATGGTCAGGGCTGGGGCCAGCACACCTGCCTACTCCTAAGCCCAGGACTGTGTCAGTCCCTGGGTCTGGCCCCAGCTCCTGAGGCTCTCCCACCCCATCTGTCTCCACTAACACCCTGCCCTGCTCCCGTCCAGCTGGCCCAGCCTCACCAGCATGCTTCTCAATCAGTTCCTTCAATGGCACAGACATCTCCTCCTCCACAGTGCAAGGGTGGTTGACATGGCCAGAGATATTGAATAGTTTGGTGCCTGAGTTGCGCTCCCGGCCGAAACCAGCAAACCACGCACCCCCACGGCGGCAAATAGTGGGGGACACGGCTACTGTCTCTACGTTGGCCACAGTTGTAGGGCAGCCAAACACTCCTTTAGGGAAATGGGAAGAGAAATTGGTGGCTGCCAGGGGTCAGGGGCAGGTTTCCTGCTCCCATGGCAGAGAGCACCTGCTCTTCTATCCCATTATCATTTTTGTCCCCTGCTGGAACAAGTGCCTTGTTCACCACCAAGCCCCTAGATCTCAGGACAGGTACTGTGTAGGTGAAGCCACAGACTAGCCTGGAGGGGGCCTTGGTGTGTGATGGGGGCTAAAGCAGGACAAGGGACTACAGGAAGCACCACTGCAGCCTGTGTGCTGCTACCACCCTCCTCTCTGTATCTAGTCCTAGCCCAGAAGGCACTCAGAAATGCCCAGGGACAATCCAGGGAGGACTTAGCCAGATCCCAGATTACATAGGATGTGGGCAGGACCCAAGATGAGGCCCAGGGGCAGACCAAATCTTACCTACATCCGCAGGGAAGGGAGGCTTTAGGCGGGGCTTGCCCTGCTTGCCCTCAATGGACTCGATGAGCGCCGTCTCCTCTCCACAGATGTAGGCCCCAGCCCCGCGCACCACAAACACATCAAAATCATAGTCAGAGCCACATGCATTCTTGCCAATCAGACCTGCCTCATAGGCCTCTCGGATGGCCACCTGCAGAACAAAGATGTGAGTTCCCTGCCTGTAACTTCAGGAGTCATGAAGCCTTGATGGTCTCCCAGGATGAGGCTCTGAGACACAAAGAGCAGAGAGAGGAGGCTTTGTGTGCCAAGTCCCATCCAGGACACATGCACACAGCATAGTGACCGCCCTCCCAGTTCAACCCAACAGAGCAGGTGCCAACATCTAACAACTGTGCTGGGTAAGGGTCTGCATGAGTGCACACAAGTACCCTCTACCTCCTGATGCTCCTCCCTGCCCACCTGCAGATTGGAAGCCTCATTGTAGAATTCTCCTCGGATATAAATGTAGGCGGCTCGGGCACCCATGGCCCGGCCCCCCACCAGGCAGCCTTCCACCAGCTTGTGAGGGTCGTGACGCATGATCTCCCGGTCTTTGCAGGTGCCAGGCTCCCCCTCATCTGCATTCACCACCAGGTACTTAGGCCTGTGAGGATCCACAGTTCAGACAGGCTAGTGGGCCATCAGAACTGGGACCTCAACTACATGCCACCCCACTCCACCCAGGGAGGTCTCAAGGATATCTCCTCCAACAGTAGATCCCTCCTTGGCCTCCCAACATGTTCCTAGGGGCTCTGCTTGCTCACCACCAATGACAGGGTGCTCACTGCCTATTCCATCTTTGGGTGGCTACAACCACAAGACGGTCTTTGTTCTGCTCAGTCCAAACATCTCTCCCTGTGCTTTCCCCTGAGAACCAGATTCTGCTCTTGGTCACAAAGAACCTTTCTCAACCACCACATCTCTGGGGCCAAAAGGAGGTAAAGTCCTGACACTTATTATTTGCTTCCTGTATGCCAACCAAAATAACAGCCCAAAGCTGTACAAACATTATCTCTTTAATCCCTGAGTATCACTATATCCATTTACAAAAGAGAAACCTAAGCTTCAAAAAGGCCAGGAGATTACCCAAAGCACTGATTACAAGGCAGAGCTAGTTTTTTAACTAAGTCTGCCTGACTCAGTCTTGTGTTGATTCTGCCTCACAAGTCTCCCCTGAGGAATTCTAGAGAAAAATACAAACCTCATCCGTTGAAGCCTGGGAATATTCTCCTACCTTATCCATGTTTCTAAGGAAAGAGACCAAAAGTCCAGGCAAGCCCCAGCTACCTCACAGTCTCTCCTGCAACCACTTCTCTATCTCCATACACATACCTGCCATCTGAGGGCTTATTCATGAAGCTCCACTTGAGGCCAGTAGGGAAGCCAGCACCTCCACGGCCCCGCAAGCCTGATGTCTTGATCTCACCCAAGATCCAGTCGGGCCCCTTCAGTAGGATCTCTTTTGTCTTATACCAGTCACCTCGACTCAGGGCCCCTTTCAGTCTGGATAGAGTGGGGAAGGCAGTGAAGGGAGGGCATTACTCTAGAACCCATCAGACTAAGAACACTATCTCACCTCCAATCATGGCGGCCATATAGGTTGGTAAAGATCCGGTCTTCATCTTTCAGTGAGCCAAATGAAGTTTTCTTGGGTGCTGTCTGGGGAGAGCAGAGAGTCAGGAGGCCCAGCAATGTTCTGAAGTCATGAGGGATTGGGTCAGATGGTATAGACCAGTGTTTTTCAACCTTTTTTTATCTCACAGCACCCTTGAATCTATAGTTAAACTTCCATGACACACTTAAATTATGTTTATCAGAAAAAAAAGAGTAAGGTGTGGTGGCTCATGCCTGTAATCCTAACCCTTTGGGAAGTTGAGGCAGGTGGATTGCTTGAGCTTAGGAGTCTCAAACCAGCCTGCACAAGAGTAAGACCCTGTCTCTACTAAAAATAGAAAAACTAGCTAGGCATAGTGGTGGGCATCTGTAGTCCCAGCTACTCAGAAGGCTGAGGCAAGAGGATCTCTTGAGCCCAAGAGTTTGAGTTGCTGTGAGCTATGATGCCATAGCACTCTACCCAGAGTGACAGAATGAGACTGTCTCAAGAAAAAAAAAAAGAGTAAAATAAGAATATACTTACTGTGCTTTGAACTTCCAAAGGTAATTAAATTAATGATCATTAAAAATTTCCAGAGCAGGCACCTGTGGCTCAGTGAGTCTGGCACCAGCCCCATATACCGAGGGTGGCAGGTTCAAACCTGGCCCTAGCCAAACTGCAACAAAAAGTAGCTGGGCGTTGTGATGGGTGCCTGCAGTCCCAGCTACTTGGGAGGCTGAGGCAAGAGAATGGCCTAAGCCCAGGAGTTGGAGGTTGCTCTGAGCTGTGAGACCACAGCACTCTACTGAGGACGATAAAGTGAGACTCTGTCTCTAAAAAAAAAAAAGAAAGAAAAAAAAATTTCCACAGCACACCGGCTGAAAATCACTGCTACAGACTCTTGGGTTCCCCTATTAGGAGTGGCTGGGGTAAGGATAGGGGAAATGCCTATCCTTAGGAAGGCACTGCCTTCCCCACTCCAAAGAGCTTCGAAACTCTTTGTAGCATCATAACTACCACCATCATTTAGCTAGCACTTTTGGGTTGGCAGGTACTAGATTAAGCATTTTATACCTAAAATTCCATTTCATCCCAACAACTATAAGATAGGAATGATTTCCTCCATTTTATAGAAGATGACACTAAAGCTCAGAGCAAAAGGAACTCATGGAAAGCCACACAGTCAGAAGCAGCAGATAGAATTCGAGCTCAGGTCTGTCCATGCCCAAAGTCCACACTTGAATCACAGCACCATACTGCCGTCCCACTCCCAGTGTGATGGCATGTCTATTTACTTGTGTGGCTCTCCTGCTGAACCAAAGCTTGATTAGGCCAAGTGCTTTATCTTACTAACTCTGTTGAGGAGACAACATGAATTTACTGATGGAAAAGAAATGGCTCTCCGAGGCTAAGACACAAAGCTGATAGAGGGGGTCCACCTGGGATAAAACTGAGCAGAAGTGGGGACTGTAATTCCACAGTACCCAGTGGAGAGCAACCCAGATAAAGGATAAAGGGGCCCTGACTTCCAGATTCCCACTTTAAAAACACTTTTCTTCCACTACAGGGAGTAGAGCACTGGATGGGGAATCAGGAGATGCGCATCCCTTTCCAAGGCTATTTTCTGCTCGTGCAAAATGAGGCTATGAATTTACGCCCTGCAAGGCTATGGCAAAGAAGGAATAAAAGACTAGGAAGCTTTATAACCTGCAAAACTTCTCGCTAGGTTGGAGAACTATTAAATTAGGGAAGCCAGAGAGCCAGAATGCCGGAAGGATCCAGCCTCTCGTTGGAACCTGTTCCCCTCCTACAATCACGCTGGAGCAGCAACCTTCCTGCTGGGCCCTGGGGAGAAGAGGAGGCTTTTCCAAAAGGCACTACAGCCCCAAGAGATCGCAAGCGCAAAGGCGCGGCAGGCGAGACCCGGTCCGCAAATACCCTTGGCCCGAGCCAGGCCGGGCCTCACCGTGTCGCCGCTGAAACGCACAGATACCCGCGCGGGAAACGACCCGCAGAGCATCCGCCGTGCCGCCAGCATCGCAGGGACCAGCTGGGTAACCTCACGCTGTCACCTTCACAAGTCTAAGGCTGAGAAACCGGCGCGACAGAGACGCTAGGCGGCGCACAGGAAGCACGTCACGCACCGGGAGAGAGCCTAGGTCTCTCGCTCCGCCCCTGCCCCGCCCCCTCGGGGGAGGGAGCGGAGGCAGAATTCGGCCTTCCTGGCGCCGGGACTTCTGGGAGATGTAGTCCTGCGGGCCTCTTTCTCCCTCAGTGGGGCTGGCGTTTACTAACTGGTTGGTCCCTCTGCTCATTGGCTCCCTTGTTCGCCCGCTCGGCTTCTTGACCTTTGCCCACTGGCTCCCAAGTCCAGAGTAAGCAAACTTCTCTTGTCGCCTTCTGCTGCGTCCTAGTGTGTTCTGTTTTCTATAGGTTCTGCGTTCGGTGTGCACCTGTACAATCAGTCAGGTTACAGCCCGATCCTCAACTACGTTGTGATTATTCCGTCCCACATGGAACCTGGCCAAACTGTGAGCGTCCCCTGGGCATCTGTGTGCTAATTAGCCACAGAGAGCGGGGCGACTCCAGGGCAGGCGGGGATTGTTCCTGGAGGTCTATTTGGAGGAGGTGCGTCTTAGGCTCGGATGAAGCAGAGAGCTAGGAGAGCGTCAGCGGACAGGTATTCTCTTGCTGGGAGCTTCTGAGCCCTCCCAACCCTTATCAGGAGAATCTAGCACTTTGCTCTTCTGCCCAAAATCCTGGAATGGCCTCTACTGCCTTCGTAATCAGGCACTTGTCCGCCAATTCAGAGCTCCACGATCTTCTCCTCCATCAAGATCATCGCTCCCAGGCCACTGACTGCCGTGACCCACTCCCCTTTTCTGGCCTCAGTAGGCTTTAGGGTGTTTGTGTGGCTGTCCCCCTCATTTGCTTTTCCCCTGACCTGAGGAGGTCCTCTGTTCTTTGCCTCTCAGGTCTTGGAAGCCTGATGACCTCTGGCCTTTTTCAGTTCCCTAGAACTCCCTGGTTCTGGTGCCAGTGATGAGTGACCTTTTTGGCCTTCTCTCTCCAGCTCAATCTTCCAGCCATCTCTATTCTCTCATGCTGCAATCACACTTTCTAATCTAAGATGTGCTATTTACAAAACTCATTTGCACCGATTTTCTCATATACTCCCACAGCAGCCCCAGATGGTGTTCACTCTGTTTTATACCTGAAAAAAATTAACGCTCAGGGGAATTTTGTCTCTTGTTGAAGGGCATGAACCTGCTGAGTGGTGGACTCAAATTCCAGTGATTTCTTCCTTCTCACCATACCCACACATGGTAAACCCGCAGAACAACAGACATGCCTGTGACAGTACTGAAGATGTCAGTGGCATTCCCAAGAGAGGCACCAAGAGCCTCTCCACCCTGAGGTTTCCCAGAAGTGTAGGGCAGTACCAGGCCCAGAGCTCAGGAGTCCTGGCTCCCAGCCCCAGGCCTCCTCTCCTGGGCAGGGAAAGAGATTGCCAGGCAGAGCTGGGGATTACACAGCTAATCCAGGGCTCAGACCTGAGTCCGTGGATCCCTCCCTTTGGGGTAGGAGAAGGGGGAGGGATGGAGCGGGGGTGGGGGATTTCTTCCTCATCGCTCTTTATTTTATTTTATTATTATTTTTGAAGACAGAGTCTCACTTTGTTGCCCTCAGTAGAGTGCCATGGCATCACAGCTCACAGCAACCTCCAGCTCTTGGGCTTAGGCAATTCTCTTGCCTCAGCCTCCTTAGTAGCTGGGACTATAGGCACCCGCCACAACACCTGGCTATTTTTTTGTTACAGTTTGGCTGAGGCCGGGTTCAAACCTGCCACCCTCAGTATATGGCGCTGGCGCCCTACTCACTGAGCCACAGGTGCCCCCCCCCATCTCTCTTTAACTGGGTCAAGGGAACACAGGCTGAGAGATGTTAGGGACACGAGGTGGCTGAGCATAGGGTGACAGGAAACGAGAACGAGGGCACGTTCTCCCATTGATCCAGTGCCAGGCTCTGTGCCAAGCACTTGCCATGTGTTATCTCTCTAATCTTCTGATAACTCAGGGAATGAGAACGAGCCACCCCTATTTTCAGAAGCAGACAGTGTATCAGCAGTGCTGATGGGCCTGCCCAGGATGGCCCAGCTGCCAGAACTCTGGCAGGCCACCCAGAGGCCCAGTGACAAATCCCCCACTTGTTCTCTACCCACTAGAGCACCTGTTTGCCGGGCTCCCCAAGCAAAGAAGAAGGTCCACTTCAGTGTCACCTCCAAGGACGTCTCCTTGGTGGCATCACAGGTCCTGGCTTTCACTTCGTCTCAGCACCTGTCCCATCCTCTGTCACCATCCATGTATCTGCCTCCCCTACCAGCATCCAGGCCAGACTGGGTGGCATCAAAGGTTCCTCGTTGTTTACACTTAGGTTTGCACCAGAGGATCTGTCTTCCTCCCCTTCCTCCTACTCTTCCTGAGGAACCCTTTGGATGTCACACACACACACACCCCTCCCGCAAGCTTTCTTTGATGATTCTGGGCAACTATCTTGAGCATCTGTTATCACAGGCCCAGTGTGAGTAAGGCATGATCAGATCTCTCTTTTTCAACCCCCAGCACAGGGCTTCTCAAGATTGTGGCTTATGCAATATTGTAATGGAATTTTTTATTTGGAAAATGAAAATTAATCAATTTTTTTCTTTGTTGGAAATTGAAAAAATATGAAAAAGCAAGAGGAAAGTAGTAACATATTTTTAGCATCCTGACAATCCCATTACATTTTGCTTGTTTGCACTGTTTTCTAGGTGCAAACTTAGAGTATGAATATGCTGATCCAAATTAATTTAGACATTTACAGGAAAAACTACAAACTCCTTCCCCACTGCCCTAGAATCTGATATTATCTCCCAATCTTTTTTTTTTTTAAATACTGTTACTTGTGCATATACTTAGCCACAGAAAAATGTGACTGGTTGGTGCCTATTTGCAGTAATGGTATTTTGGTGACATGAATCTTTACTTTGCTCTTTTTCATTGAACACTATGTTTTTGAGATTAGTCTATGTTGATACGAGTAGATTTAGAAGCATGATTACCTGCCAGTGATACCAGTGCTTCAAGCTTAAGAGCCTGGATTCAAAATCCTGTTTTCACTACTTATTAGCTGTGAGTTTTTATGACCCGGGCCTCAGTCTCCTCAAGAAGACGATGAGGATAGCATATACCCTGAAGGAGTCTGGTCAGGGTTATCAAGGAAAATAAATGAGGAACTTGTACAGTGCTCAGGGAAGTGCCCGACATAGCAAATGCCCTGAGAGTGTTTAACTAAGAGCACAAGACTGCAGACTAACTCGGAGAAGACCCACATCCTTACACGACTGACTGTCCCCATCCAGGGCTACAGCCACTCTCAGAAAATAAGTCACTTTCATTTTTTCAGACCTTTTAGGTCATTCATTAACATTTAGAATTTTTTTTTTTAAATTTTGAGACAGAGTCTCTCCATGTCATCCTTGGTAGAGTGCCATGGCATCACAGCTCACAGCATCCTCAAACTCTTGGGCTTAGGCAATTCTCTTGCCTCAGCCTCCCAAGTAGCTGGGACTACAGGTGCCTGCCACAATGCCGGCTTTTGTTGCAATTGTCATTGTTGTTAGCTGGCCTGGGCCGGGTTCAAACCCACCATCATCGGTGTCCGTGGCTGGCGCTGTAACCCCTGTTCTACGGGCACTGAGCCTAGAATTTTTTATTTAAAAAATTCTGCACATCTTTTTTTTTTTTTTTGAGACAGAGCCTCAAGCTGTCCCCCTGGGTAGAGTGCCATGGCATTACAGCTCACAGCAACCTCCAACTCCTGGGCTCAAGCGAGTCTCCTGCCTCCGCCTCCCAAGTAGCTAGGACCACAGGCGCCCGCCACAACACCCGGCTATTTTTTGGTTGCAGCCATCATTGTTGTTTGGCGGGTCCGGGCTGGGGATTCGAACCCGCCACCTTAGGTGTACGTGGCTGGCGCCCTAGCCGGTTGAGCTATAGGCGCCGAGCCTGCACATCTTTAATGCAGGAATTTTACATGGTATATTTGTGTTTTTATCACCTTTTCTGATTACATTTTCTTTTCTTTTTTGAGATCAAGTCTCACTCTGTCACCCTGGGTAGAGTGCTCCTCAGTCTCCTGGACTCGAGGATTCCCCTGTCTAGGCCTCCCAGAGTGCTAGGATTACAGGAACGAGCAGAATAGGAATGTATCGTTAGTTTCCAAAGGGCCTATTTGCAAACTGGGTGTATAGGTAGTTGTCGTTGGAGGATATAAAATTCCAGTTCCCAGTCTGATCTCTGATCTGGGCTTGGCTTGCTCCAAGTGCCCAGAGACACCTTGGAAGTAGGGCTCCCCCCCCATTAGACAGGAAGGTTAAACACCTGAAGAACTCTGGCCTTTTCTTTTTTTGAGACAGAGTCTCATTTTGTCACCCTGGATAGAGTGCCCTGGCATCATAGCTCATAGCAAACTCTTGGGCCTTTTTATCTTAAACAATTACTATGTGTGACAGTTGTCATGACAACCAGTAAGAGTGGAGTTCCCTAAGGCTTTTGATAGAGACCTCAACCTGTTAGGGAAACTCCCTTCTGAGAGTGCAATTTTATCTTTGAAGGGGTGCTCAGTTTTACTGAATGCTTTTTCTGCATCTGAGATAATCATATTGTTTTTCAGCTTTAATATATGGTTGATTACATCATTTATTTTTCTAATCTGTTAACGTAAAGTGGCAGCAGAGTGAGGTAGCTGAGAGCACAGTTGGAAGCCTGTCCAGACTAAATTCTAGGCTGTGTGTCATTCAGCTAGTTCCTTGCCTTCTCTGTGCATCAAGATGCCATGGTTAAATATGTTAATCTCTGTAAAGCCCTTAGAACAGGGCCTAACGAATACTCTGTAAGTGTTTGCTGTTCTTAGTTTTTATTATTTTGGTTGTAAACATCTATTGGTCATGATGTAATATTCTTTCATTGTACTCCTGGATTTATTTTATTTTATTATTATTTTTTTTTGAGACAGAGCCTCAAGCTGCTCCCCTGGGTAGAGTGCCGTGGCATCACAGCTCACAGCAACCTCCAACTCCTGGGCTCAAGCAAGTCTCCT